AAAGAAAAGAAAAAAAAAAGTGCATTATGTGTCTGAAGGCTTCTCCTTCCAAGCTCATTTGAGCTTCAAAACACCAAATGGAGAGGAATCCTGCCATTGTTCATTGGCACTTAGCATATGCCACCTTGGACGAAATGCTCGTCTCTGTCCTATGACCCTACACAGAAGGCTAGCTAGCCCCTTGGGGACATAAGCCATGTGCTGCATCTCCAGCCCCTGAGCATGCCTAGGGCATAAAAAATAAAAGTGAGCCTGAGGCTGTTTCTGTGGGGGGCCTCCACTCCCCTGGAGGAAGCTCAGTCTAGGAGCCTCTAATACTGCTCCACTGGGTTAGTAAACACTTCCTTCCCAGCTGCAAAAGAAATTGTTCCTGGATGGCTGGCCCAGGAAAATTGCTCCAGAATGACTAATCCAATAAATGCTACCTGCTATATATATATATATATATATATACATAACTATATATCTATATAACTATCTATCTATCTATCTATCTAACTCCTTGGAAGGAAGATGGGGCAATCTACTTCCGTAGTGATACTGTCTTGGAAACCCAAGGAGGGGTCACTATGAGTCGGGTCCAACTCAACGGCACGTAACAACAACTATATATATATATACATATATATATATATATATAGTTTATAAAACTTAGGAACAGCTGGAAAGAGGAAGCTAGTTATTTCATGAACAATAGTATTCCCTCGGTTGACCAATGTGGTTGTCCTGAACCCAGTCACACCGTGAATTGTCATTTGCCACAGTGGCTTTCCTCCCAGCCATGCAAACTGAGACCCCAGGTGATAAGTCGGCCCAGGCTGGGCCAGGGCCCTGCCTGGGATGGCCTCAAGACCCTTCTGGGAAATCAGGTGGTATCCTGGGAACCCCTTGCCAAGCTCAGCATCACTGCTGACACACCAGAGGTATGTGAGCACTGACCCCAGGGAGACTAGTCCTACAGAGTAGATCCATGCTCCAAACAGGTGAGATTAGGAGACCAGACTGATAGTTGATGCTCTTCAATGCTCATAGAAAGCTAGCGCCGTGGGGGAGACCTTCCAAGGCAGGGAGACTACATCACAGAGTCTCTCATCCTTCCTTGTACTAGAGCACTTTACATCAGATTCAGTCTCCCCAGCCAGCCTGGGAGGTGATCCTGGAGCACAGGGGCGGGGCCCCGTGCTCACCTATAACCCAGTCCCCCCAGAAGGACGCACAGGTCTGTGGCGACATGCACCATTTTGTTTATAACTTCAGAAGCATTACCTCCCTTTCCTGTGTGTGTACATCCATTTTTTTTACTGGTCAGAAATGTTTCCTGTTGCCCTGGACAGGCAAGGCCATGAGGAAGTCAGCATTCTCACACACTGCTTGTGGGCATTTAGCAGTACAACCCCTATGGAAGTTAGTTTGACAGTGCCCCTTGAATTATAAATGAACGCTCCCATTGGCCCGGCAATTCCACTTCCTGGAGAGTACACTTCATTTATACTTGTACATGCATGAAATGAAGTATGTTCAAGGTTATTCACTGCAGCACAGTATGTCATAGCCAAGCAAGGAAACAACCCAAATGTTCATCAATAGGATAAAGATTAAAAAAAAAAAACTACGGTGTGTTCATACAATGAAATTTTAACTGTCATAAAAACAAAGGGAAACTTTTTATGCACTGATAGGGAAATACTTTCAAGATCTGCTGCTAAATGGAAAAAAAAATCTAGGTGGAACACAGTATTTATTTCAAAATAAGTACATACGTGAATATATATGAAAGGCAGATGTTGGTTGCTCAGGGTGGGAGAACCGAGTAACTTGGGACAGGAGTCAAAGGCAGATTTTACTACATAAGCTTTTGAAGCTGTTAGTTTAGGAATCACACACACACACAAAAAACTATGTTTTATAAAAACTAAATTTGTTAAACTAAAAAATAAAACAAGACTTCTTCAGACTTTTGAGATAGACTCTCACCTCAGTGAAGGCAACAGCTCTGGCTAATGTTTTTCAATCTCCACAATAGAACTGGAAAAAAAACTGGCCCAAGACACAGGGGCTTGAGCCTGGGTTCCCACAGCCAAAAGCTGCTTCTGGACTTGACCCACAGCAGCACTGAGGGCCTGCTGAGGTTCAACAGTGGACTTGTCTACAAAGAGGAATGCACAGCTCATGTCCTTCACAAATGCCTCCGCCCAGAAAATTGGCATCCACCCTTAACCACCTTGGCGGAGAGAGCATGGCAGCCATGCTCCTCACTGCTGAGGATGCCCAAGCTGAGTGGAAGGGGCAGACATGCACACCCTGACCTTCCACAGGGTCTGGACTAGCCTGGGTCTCCTGGTCACCACCACCCACTCACACTGTCAACTGCCACATCTCCAGACCTCCAGACACCACATACACATACCCGCCAGGCACTCTGCACGCTCACTACCTGAGTGGTTGCTCATCATGCGGACCGCCTTGGCCTTGGCCAGCTCCAAGGCAGTGATCCACTGCTGCCGCTCCACCTCTGAGCTGGCCTTGAGGTGGTAGGTTCTTGCCCCACAGGTCAGCAGAATGTTGCAAGAGTCCTCTGTGTCAATGTGTGCTGTGGACAGGTTGATGGTGCCCCGGCAGGTGTGGGCCATTTCACCCTGATTTCTGTAAGATGCAAGAAAAGGGATGGTTTAAGTCTCCCAGATGGAAGAAACCCATAAGGCAAACCTAAGAACCTCAGAGCTGAGAGAGGCCATGGGGTCTGAGTTGGATATGACATTTATTGGGACTGACTGGGTTGAGGCCACGTGTGCCCTCCGTAGAGTGTTGCTGAGGGGGTTGGGCCCACCTGCTGTGGTCTGAGTCCTCACAGAGGCAAAGCAGGCCTCTGACTCCATCCTGGGCTCTTTCTCTTCATTCTCAGGACCATGGAGCAGGAAAATAGTGGAATCTTGCACGAAAATTGAGATTGGAGGCCCTGAGCCCAAGAGGGTGGACTCAGAGGACCCCATGCCAGGAGTGACCTGGGAACAGTGTTGTCCCTGATGTGTATATTTCACTACTTCACTCTCAATCACGAGACCTGCAGAGTAAGGATGCCACCATTGTCCTCTGACCCTGTCATGGTGAACGACATGGCACTTACTGGGCTACCACAGTGCTACTTAATGACAAAGGTCCCCTTTGCTAGTTACAAGATTATATAGCTAACGGTACCAAAATTAGGGAAAGTGGAGGTGGCTAACGTGTGCACCATTGCTAACTGTGATAACTTTCTGAAAACTCATATCCAGCTATTTAACTCACTTCCTTAGGCCCATGAAGGATGTTCAGAATCCCCCGCTACACCAAAACTCTCCCCACACAGGAAGTTTGAAAGGAAGAGCAATGGGTCAGCATCTAACATTTCCAGTGGTAGGAACTCATCAGGCAACTTTCTGGTGCTTTTAGTGCCGATTTATTTCCCCTGGCTGTTCATCACTTGTCACTTTTGTGATTCTTCTACCAGTTCCAAAGTCAGATGACTTGAACTCAGTGAGGTACTCATCTTTCACTTAAGCAGCTGTTGCCTTTTCTGAGTCTCTCCTGCTTCAGTCACCTTTGTTAGAGAAGATGGTATAGTTTATACCTGAAGAAAAGCTCAGCTCTCAGGTGCTGACAACCTCCACTAGAGGAGACCCACTCTAGCTTACAGAACTGGCAAAGATGGGCAGGTCCTGTTGGAAGCCTGATGTTCTAGATTTAAGCACCTTCCAGGCTAGAGGTTGACTGAGTGCTCCAGGCAGAGGGAACAGCAGGTATAAAGACCATGAGGGAAGAAGGAGTTTATAACTTTCAACAAATAGAAGAAGATTCTGTGTGGCCAGAGCATTAAGAACAAGAGTGGATGAGAGAAAGTGCAGCTAGAAAATCAGGCAGAGACCAAATGCAATCTCTCAAAGGCCACATGAAGGGTTTAGACTTTTACCCTAAAACTAAAACTGTGGGCTTTCTGGTCTAATGTCAGGAAAGAAGTAGAGATAGCCAAGTGTTTCACCCACTTGGAAAAATGATGATTAAAAATGCCTTGTACACATCGGGAGACTGGAGTCAGCCCAGTGCTTGGACTTAGGTCTGGGCTAGAAGTTACCCAGCTGCTATTATAGTTGATTACAACCCAGAGACCAAAATAAATACCCACGAGTCCATACTGATATAAATAAACAATTGTAGGAAAAAATAAATGAGGGAGAAAGGACAGTTCGTCCTCAAGGAATGTTGATGGAATGATGGAAATAGAAAAATCATTAACTGCAAAATGGGATCCTGGACTGGGTACTAAAATAGAAAGAAAAAAAAAAAAACATTAAGGGAAAAATGGCGAACTCTGAATAAAGAATGGAGGTTAGTTAGTAGCATTGTAACAATGATAATTTCTTGGTTTTGATCATTGTACCTTGATTAGTTGAGAGGTTAACAACAGAGGAAGCTTGGTGAAGGGTGTATGAGAACTTTGTACTATTTTTTACAACATTCATGTAAGTCTAGTTACTTCAAAATAAAAAAAGTTTTTTAAAAATGCTATTATCATCTTCTTCCCAGGGTCATAGCTAATATGAAATCTTGAGGCCAGAACCTGAACTCCCCTGCCCTCAGGCTCAATGATTGGGTTAGAGATATTCCCAATGTCACTCAAAGGCAAAAGTCCCAAGTCCCAATCATAGGACTTAGTTCTATGGCTCTGCAGGGGGCTCGGTGGACATACTTACAACATCATTTGACTAAGAAGAGTGATAGGGGAGTAAAGGAGGGAGAGAGAACCTCCTAGTCAAGATGAACCTGAAAACCAAAATTCAAAACCCATGAAGAAACCAAAAAAACCCATTGCCACTGAATGGATTCTGACTCATAGTGACCCTATAGTACAGAGTAGAACTTTCCCCGAGGAGTATCCAAGCCTGTAAATCTTTAAGGAAGCACACCACCTTATCTTTCTCCCAGTGAGCTCCCGGTGGATTTGAAGTGCTGACCTTTTGGTTAGCAACGGAATGCTCTGTGCCACCAGAGCTCCATGAAGAAAGCCAATGGTAATAAAGATGCAAACAAAGTCAATGATAAGAAGATGAATCACTTTAGACAAAATGGAACTAACAAGACAATGTGAAAAAAATTTAATATAAAGCATCCATAATAGGAGCAAAAATTTCTGAAACAAACGTAGATATAATGAAACTACAATAGGTAGATATGAAAAAGGTACAAGAGAATTTCCGAAAATGAAAATATAAGATAAGCTTTATCAGTTGTGGTAGTTGTGTATCAACTTCGCTGGGTCTGGTTTTTAGTGGCTGGGCAGCTGGATCTAAGGTATTCTCTGTGATGAGACTGGTGGTGAACAGCTCCCTGGTGGAATCTACTGGAGCAGCTGAGTAGTGTGCTTCCAGTTCATAAGAAGCACTGAGAAAGGTCTCTGGAGCCTTTTGGCACACTTGGACCCCGCATATAGCTGATTCTTCATTCAGCAGCCTGCCATGCTTCTCGACAATCTTAGGACTGTCTCTGGACTTGAACTAATGTCCTGCCACGTTGTTTGGTAATCTTGGAACTGTGCCATTGTATTTGTCGGCCTTGGGTTTGTCAGCCTCAGCAGCCAGCAGCTGCCTGAGCTAAGAGAAGCCTCTAGCTTCAGTGGGCCAGGAGCAAGAGGCAGAGCTGAAGCCCAAGGTTGAAGGAATTTCATCCAGTGCCTAGAGCTGACACCTTGAACTCAGACTTCTAGCCTCCTAAACTGTAAGAGAATAAATCTGCTTGTTCAAACCATTCCATCTGTGGTATTTTCTGTTAGAGTGGCACTGAGGTAACCAAAACACCAGTCAACCAGCATCCAAATCTAAACTGAAACTTTACTCATTGTAATGGTGTTATTTTTATTAAGGATTGGACTATCTACCTCTGTAGAGATACCTCCTTGGAACCCCAAGGAGGGGTTGCTATGAGTTGGAATTGATTCAACAGGAGTGAGTTTGGTTTTTTTTTTTTTTTTTTGGAGGAGGTAAATGTTTCACTTTTACTTTCTGCACTGTTTGGAAAAAATTACATAGTGGCATACATATGTGAGTTTGTGGATTGAACCAGTCACCACTGAGTCAGTTTCAGTCATGGTGACCGCATGGTTTATCCCACGTGAGTCAGAGTAGAACTGTGCTCCACAGGGTTTTCAATGGCTGAGTTTTAGAACCAGATCACTAGGCCTTCCTTCTGAGGTGCCTCTGGGTGGACTAAAGACCCTTCAACTTATCAAGGTCAACACATTTTCTGGTCTTGGAATTTAGATCTACTCTCTTAAAATTTAGATGTTTTGTGTTCAATCCATTCTGTGATTTTTGGTGGCATAGTGGCTAAGGCATTTGACTGCTAACCAAAAGGCTAGTGGTTCAAACCTGCCAGCCACTCCATGGAAGGAAGACTGAGCAATCTACTTCTGTAAAGATTTTATTGCCTTGGAAATCCAAAGGGGGTCACTATGTGTTGGAATTGACTCGATGACAGTGAGTATGGTTTTTGGTATTCAGTTTTTAAAAACTTCAGTGGCAGGGGAGGGGACACAGCAAAAATAAGTAAATAAATAAAAAGAAAAAAAATTCAATGGCTTCTGTGGTAGTTAAGTTTGTGTGTCAACTTGGCTAGGCCTGGTTGAGTGGCTGGGCAGCTGGATGTAGTATTCCTCATGATGAGACTGGTAATCAACTCCATGGTGGAATCTACTGGGAGCAGCTGAGTAGCTGCCTTTTGGTATGTGGTCTGCTTCCTGTATATAAGTAGCAGCTTTGGGAACAGTCTCTAGCTTATGGCATGCTTGGACCCTGCATGTAACTGTGTCATTGTTCAGCAGCCTGCCATACTCTGCCAACCATGGGACTTACAATGGACTTGAATTAATGGCCATGTGGTAACACTGGGACTGTGCCATTTTATTTGTCGACCTTGGGCTTCTTAGCCTTGGCAGCCAGCAGCTGTCTGAGTGAAGAAATGCCTCTTGCTTCAGTGGGCCGGAAGCAAGAGGTAGAACTGAAGCCCAAGGTCGAGGGGTTTCACACAGCCCCTAGAGCCTGGCATTTTCAACTTGGACTTAAAGTCTCCAAATTGTTAGAGGATAAATTCCTGTTTGTTAAGGCACAAATAAATACAATAATGGCACAACATCTTGGAGAATACCAACAACTTCAAGCCACATGTACAAAATACAAGATAAGATGTCTCAAGCAACTGATAGGGCCAGAAAACCTTCTGGAGGAAGGAAGGGTAATGGAATTACTTGAAAAGTAATTCAAACGAATTTTATTTAGGACCAGGACAACATATATTCTTTTCTAGCACACATGGATCATTCTCCAGAACAGACCATATTTTAGGCCAGAAAAGATGTCTCAACAAATTTAAAGCCATCAAAATAGTACAAAGCATCTTCTAAGATCACAATATTATAAAATTAGACATCAATAATAGGAAGAACAAGAAAAAAAAATGAAATAAATGGGAACAGAATAATATGCTGGTTAAAAACTACTGGGTAATAGAAGAAATAAAAAAATTCCTAGAATCAAACATGAATAAAACAACTTACTAAAACCTTTGGAAAGCAGCAAAAGCAGTGCTCAGGGGACAATTTATAGTAATAGAGACAC